CATTAGACAGAATCCGTGCAGCAGCGATCTCTGATAAACCTGAACCTTGTATACTGCGATCTCCAACCCGCCTGCCTGCGGAGATTGTGACAAACCCTCTTATGTAGAGGAGGCTCATAGTGCAGCAGTGGACTGTCATTGTACTGATAACCATGTGGGAACATCTCTTCATCCATCTTTTTAAAACAAAAAGAACATTTTATAAAATACGCTTAATAAGACCTGGGTGTCTTCAAGGCCCGAGTGAATAGGTTGCTTATGGAACGACATGCTCCATCGTAGACCGCATCATCGCTTACCACCAGGCGAGATAGAGGTCAAACGTCAACGTAAGTGGAAACTACAGTGTTTTCTTCTTCTCCTCTTATAATATCTTCTGATTCACTTCGTTGCGGGAACCAAGACAGTTACTCATGTCCCTGGGACGCGCCGGACTTCAACGTTCCGGTGTTTTCACGGTTGTATCTACTGTAGATCCTGTGTTACAGGAGTTGCAGCGGTTTTGGGAGGTTGTGGCGGGCTTGTCCCTAAAAAAAAAAAGTAGTCAAACGTCAGTCCCATCAAATATGTATAAAACAAACCTGACTTGAAGCCCCTTTTTTTGAAGTCGGTCAACTAACTAAGACCTTCTTTTACATCACTTAAGCGGGAGAAGTCATTCGATGATTTTCCCCCCTTACAAAAAAAAGGTTTACCAAACAAGTCTCTGAAAACCGCATTAATATCGGTTTAGCCATTCGCGAGGTAAACGCACACTAAAACATAGATACATATCGAGAAACTGAGAAACTTTTTTTATTTATGAATTCGATGGTTTTTTTTTTATTTATTTATTTATATAAAACCTTACAACCTAAACTATCATGACAGGTTTCTCCATTGCGATAGCTAGGCCTTAAAAAACTAAATCTATGTTACGTCCAAATATAACAAAATCATAAAGTAAAAAACTAAAATGAACAAATTTTTGACTAAACTTAACTCAATAATCTAAAATACCAGAATACCTTCGATCAACAATAGCAGAATACAAATAAAAAATAAAATTTTACAAAACAAAGAAAAAAAAACAAAAAAATTACTTATTTAAATTTAAAAACCTTATACATATCATACAACATATTTAAACTACTAGTTTTAAAACATAACATTAATCTATTACAAACTAGCTTCTGCCCGCGACTTCGTACGCATAATCCCATTTTTCCCGTCCCTGTTCGTGATTTTCGGTAAAAAGTAAAAAAAAAATGTTGGTTAAAAAGTATCCTATGTCGGTCTCCTGGCTCTAAGCTACCTCCCTACCAATTTTCAGCCAAATCTATTCTGCCGTTCTTGACTTATAAATAGTGTAACTAACACGACTTTCTTTTATATATATAGATTACAATACCTAAATGAGATCATACACGGTCACGAGATCAAAGGTGCAGTACTACATAACAATTAATAAACACAAAGTAAAAGTAATATTATGTATGTATGTACCTATGATTTAATCATTCATACCTAGTACTCTGCCTACCCCACTCTGGCATGCACAGTTGGAGTATATAAGTAAGATTTTATGATATAATCCTGCTGAGCCACGATCGAATTTAATTTGTACGCCGCAAGCCCATTCCAGCTTACATAGGGATGTCACTGAAGTGAGGTTTTTTTATGTCATAAGCAGGTAAACGAGCAGACGGATCACCTAATGGTAAGCAATCGGCGTCGCCCATGGACACCTGGAACACCAGAGGCGTTACAAGTGCGTTACTGGCCTTTTGGGGATTAGGAGTTTGAGGATCGTTGGGGATTCAAGATTGGGGAGATTGGGGAAGGGGAGGGTAATTGGGCCTTCGGTAACCTCACTCACACGACGAAACAACGCAAGCGTTACTTCACGTCGGTTTTCTGTGAGGTATCACTCCGATCGAGCCGGCCCATTCGTGCCTATGTACCTATGATTTAATCATTCATACCTAGTACTCTGCTTACCCCACACTGGCATGCACAGTTGGAGTATATAAGTAAGATTTTATGATATAATCCTGCTGAGCCACGATTGAATTTAATTTGAACGCCGCAAGCCCATTCCAGCTTACATAGGGATGTCACTGATGTGAGGTTTTTTTTATGTCATAAGCCGGTAAACGAGCAGACGAATCACCTAATGGTAAGCAATCGGCGTCGCCCATGGACACCTGGAACACCAGAGGCGTTACAAGTGCGTTACTGGCCTTTTGGGGATTAGGAGTTTGAGGATCGTTGGGGATTCAGGGATTGGGGAAGGGGAGGGTAATTGGGCCTCCGGTAACCTCACTCACACGATGAAACAACGCAAGCGTTACTTCACGTCGGTTTTCTGTGAGGTATCACTCCGGTCGAGCCGGCCCATTCGTGCCTATGTACCTATGATTTAATCATTCATACCTAGTACTCTGCTTACCCCACTCTGGCATGCACAGTTGGAGTATATAAGTAAGATTTTATGATATAATCCTGCTGAGCCACGATTGAATTTAATTTGGACGCCACAAGCCCGTTCCAGCTTACATAGGGATGTCACTGAAGTGAGGTCGTCTGATTTTTTTTAACCGACTTCAAAAATAGGGAGGTTCTCAATTTGACGTTCGCGATTGGCTGAACTGATATTGATGCAGTTTTTATCAGTGTTCGTTACACTCAGGAGAAGGTTTTAGTATAATAATAATCAACTGATTCATATATACATTGCTAGTAAATGAATATAACATCATTACGCCTTTTATCCCCAAAGGATTAGGCAGAGGTGCACGGCACTTAATGCCACTGTACAATGTAGCACCCACTTTTTACTTTATGAGTCCCATGTAATAGGGGTGAGACTATTGCCATATACCGGGCACAATTCCAGACTCCGTGCTACTGCTGAGATTTTTTTAAACACCCAGTAATCTTTTGCCCGACCCGGGAATCGAACCCGAGACTCTTGCCCGGCAGTCGCACTTGCGACCACTCAGCCAACGAAGCAGTTAAAGAAATGCTTATAGAAGCATTTTTTTCTTTACATTTCGATTATACGCAAAAAATCTTTTTCATACCAGCCCTACGTCTTCATTTTCATAATATAAACGTCGCCTGATCGGAATGAGGATATATTGAAACCAAAATACTGAATACGTAATTATATACTATATATTGTATTTATTCTTTTATGTACACAATTTTATTATGTCACATAAGGCGAACTTAATGCCATATGGCATTCTCTACCAGTTTACCTTAGGGTTTAAGTAGAAAATCTGCGAAAAATAAGGTACGGAGAATAAACTAATAGCAAAAAGAGAGAGAATATATGGTAATTATTAAATAATATAGCTACACATATAAAATACGTAATCGGGGGGAACATATAATAATTTTTTAAGGGGGAATATCATCCAATGACTTCTGCCACCCGGGTGAGGCGAGAGGGAGTGTCAGAGTCTTACTGACTAAAAACCACCCCGTTCCTACTACTGCACTTCGAGCCGGAGCCCCGGTAACCCGTTAAGTTTTCCGCGGCTCCGTATCGGCATCGGCCCTGCTAGGCCCCATATGTGGTGGTCTGATGGCTCCATGAGGCGCGCGTGGAACGCGACGCGCCCTACGCTCAGGTCTGGTTCTGATCGGGCGGCGAGTCAACCGTGCTCGCCGTCCGCAGGCCCGTGCTTACGGTGGCCGGAGATCGTCTCGCGATCCCCGACGCCCGGACTGTCTCTCACGACGGCCGGGGCGTGAGGAGGTTCGTTCTCTCACGCACTCCGCCTCCTCCTTAGCATGACTGCTTCACAGAAGGAGGAGACGGCATCCCAGTCCCCCTTGCTCCATACCATGGTCTGAACCAGAGCCGGACGCGAGAGGTCGCCACGAAGACCTAGACCTAGCGTTGCAGCGATTTTAAATAAAATTCGTGAACTTGTTAAAAATGTTTAAAGGAGATTTTATTAGGAGCTTTTTTGATATTGAGGGGGAACGCGTACCAATTATTTGATGACATTTATTGTATAGGAATTAGAAATAAAAGAGGTGCAGTGGGAAGGAATCAAGAAGCAATATATATGTACTGTATCAGAGTGGCAAGTAAGAATGTTACAATAAGGGTTCGTTCACAAAACTGCGATGCGACGTCGCATCGCAAAAATGTGCTCCCTCCCTCTACGCATCGCAAGAACTTGCGAATTGATTCGCATCGCGCATAAAAATCTTATCTTCCCAAAATCTTCTTCGTTTCTTTTTCCTGTATCTCCTAAGCAATAACAGAAGTGCACACTTCTTTTTACAATCCATATCACGGCCTAGTTTTCAATTTAAAATACGTTTAGTACAGTTGACGGTCGTCGAAGGAATGATCACCCTGGTAGCCTTGTCGCACGAAATCGCATCGCAGCGATTCGCATCGTAATTTTTTGCGTTGCGAATTCGCTTCGCATTGCATCGCAGTTTTGTGTACGAGCCCTGTGGCGACGCATGCCACATGTCAACGGATGACGTCACACGAATCCTACATCGCACATGCAAAGTTTACAAACGAATAAACACAGATAGAAAATCCCAACGAACAACTGTTGGGCAGAGAGCCCGCCAGGCACGATGACCTCGCCTGGTCGGAGGATCCTCCTTTTCCGATCTTAGGGAACTATACTCTCTGTTCCCTGAGGTTTTTTGAATTCGAACGAAACCATCATTCGAATTCAAAAAATCTTTATTAGGTATATAATTATAATTCTGCTGTGTGTATGTCATTGACTCCTCCTAAACGGCTTGACCGATTTATGTAAATGAATTTTTCTGTACGCGATTGAGTGGCGCCCTGGATGGTTTAGATTCACAAACCAGTCCGGCAGATGGCGCTGCAGTCTGTATCTAGGTTATTTATCTATATCTATAATTATATTATATGCAGAACAACGGCTGTCGAGTCCGGTAGTATTTTATAACTGTCGTGAGACATACTAAATTACAGTATAAACTTACAGTATATAATATTGTTTCAGAACACTACCACATTTTCGTGGGAGACCTCAGTCCTGAAATCGAGACACAGAGCCTGCGGGATGCCTTCGCGCCGTTTGGAGAGATTTCGTAAGTATTTTCAGTTATTATTAGATCTTAATTCACATAGGACAGGGATGAAGGCGAACCATTGGCACGCGTGCCGTTGATGGCACGGAACACAACATTTTGGGCACGACAGTGACTACAAAATTGATGAATGATCAGAAACCTACAACGCATTTGTGGTGTCTCGAATATTGCAGGTGTACTCAGACTGCGGAGACAGCTTACCAGGTCAACTGTATACATTATTGCTACAGATTGACAGTAAATATCAGTCGATGGCACACATAAAACCGTAAAATACTATTCTTCGAAGTAATTGGCACGCTAATGTGTAAAGGTTCGCCTTCCCTGACATAGGAGAACCATACTTCGGCACTACTGTGTCGGCTCGACCGGACTGCACGATTGATGCGGTGGCAGGGCAACTGACTGCCACGCAACATGTAGCGTATTCAATTCCCGCACGGAACAACTCTTTGTGTGAACCACAGATTGTTGTTTCGGGTCTGGGTGTCATGTGTATGTGAACTTGTATGTTTGTAAACGCACCCACGACACAGGAGAAAATCCTAGTGTGGGGCAACATTTTAAACAAAAAAAAATCTAACTGACTCCCAATCCTAGTGTGGGATTTTTTTATGGCATAAGCCGGTAAACGAGCTGACGGATCACCTGATGGTAAGCAATCGACGTTGCCCATGGACACCTGGAACACCAGATGCGTAACAAGTGCGTTACCGGCCTTTTTAGGGATTATGAGTTTGAGGATCATTGGGAATTTAGAGATTGGGGAGAATGGGGAAAAGAAAAGGGGTAATTGGGCCTCCGGTAACCTCACTCACACGACGAAACACAACGCAAGCGTTGCTTCACGTCGGTTTTTTATGAGGCCGTGGTATTACTCCGGTCGAGCCGGCCCTTTCGTGCCGAAGCATGGCTCTCCTACACTAAATATCTTACTATTATATAAAGCGGAAGAGTTTTCTTGTTTGTTTGTTTATTTGAACGCGCTAATCTCCGCAACTACAAGTCTGATTTGAATAATTCTTTTTGTGTTCGATAGTGCATTTATCGAGGATAGCTATAGGCTAAAACCTCACGCTACGACCAATAGGAGCTGAGCAGAGCGTGTGAAACCGCGTGTAGCTAGTTAGGGATAAAGACAAAACAGAGATATGTACTTCCTGACATAGATTCCAATACCTAGGGGGTACTTAAAATATGTCAGACCATGTAGATTCTGTGCTTGAATGCTCCTTGGAGACAAGCCAACTTAGTTGGGCCTCACTGCGAGCGGGGAGTGTAACGCTACGCGTATGAATAGCGATTTGTTTATGCAAAAGGCAGTGGTAACAGTATAAATAAAGAAAAAGAATGTAATGTAGTTTAATTCTTTCAGTTACACTTTTAAGTGGTTACGAATATATTATTTTAAATAATATTAAAAACCAAAGCAAAAATTTCTAAGAAAAACGATTAGCTACAGTGACCACTAAGACTCGATCGGAGTGATATTACGGCCTCAAAGAAAACTGACTTAAAACAACGCTTGCCTTATGTTTCGTCATTGAGTGAGGTTACCGGGGGCCCAATTACTGGACCTCATCTGTGGTGGTCTGATGATTTTTCTCACACGGAGAAGGTTTAAGCATCAATTAGCACGCTTGCTTATTGCATTAAAACAATTTCAAACTTACATTTCCTCACGATGTTTTCCCTTACCGTTTGTCAGTGGTGTCTAGATAATCTTAGAAAGTACATGTAACTCGGAAAAAGTCACATTGGTACTTGCCGTTGGTAGGTTTTGAACATACTAATGCTTGAGTAGTGAGCGTAAACCTCCGGGCCACCACGACACACAACATACCTTCTCTTTTTGCATCAATAATAGAAAATCGATCCGCTCATGGAACCGCTATATCTCCCACCATGTCTGTACCCCGCTGACATACTTGATATTTGTCAAAAAGCCAAAAAATTTTAGTTTATGTTCATCTTGAGTCGCTGGCACATCTTTTATCTTTTATATCTAGTGTTCGGTTTGTATGTATGTCAGTCCGTCAGTATTGTATGCTTAGGTTTGTCTATGAGAACATATAAATATGTATGTCGAATCTCTGATTGCCAATCTCATTTTATTGGATACGAATTAATTATCTTTCTTTAGTTGTATGGTGAGTTTAAACATAACATAACATGCATAACATCACGCCTTTTATCCTCGAAGGGATAGGCAGAGATGCACATTACGGCACTTAATGCTACTGTAATGTAACACACTTTTCACTATTTATGTTATGAGTCCCATGTAATTAGTGTTGCCCAAATTCAGTCTTGGTCTTGCAGTCTTGGTCTTGTTCTTGCGTTTTTGCAAGACCAAGACCAAGAACAAGACCGCGTATTTTTAGCAAGACCAAGACCAAGACTGACCGTGCAAGACTTGAGCAAGAACAAGACATAGCCTGCAAGACTCTTGCGTCTTGCAGCTAGGACTTAGCGCTATTGCACTGAGTAGTTAGGTGTAACAGTTCGGTGTATAGGTAGGTACGCTTAGGAATTCTATGAGACGCAAAAAACTGTATCAAAGAATATGAAAAACTGGACCTATGCGCATTACGACTAATACCATAAACATAGCGAATAAAAAAATATCTATTAAAATCAAACTGAGTGCATGCATAGTTATGTTTTAACCATCGGCACTTTGATAATGCGGCATCAAAGGTTTTGTACTTACTTCTCAAAGAAATTTGCCGCTTTTCGGAAGTACATGGTTATGATACACGCGCCGGCGGCTTCTTTTGAAATCTAAAACAATCGTTGCCGCCACGCCGAAATCATAACATTTGACACTATTTGATTGCCGCCATAGGGCGTAGGTATACTCATGCAAAATAATTTCGAATTTTAAGAGTACCTACAGGTGTTCCAAAGAATAAATAAGTTTCAGAGTGCTTAGAATGAAAATGAATACATTATACTGATCACGCAAGTAGTATTATGATTAGGATAAAATGGTAAGGATAGGTAGTAGATGTCATATTAATTCATTCTAGTAAGTATACAATGTGGCACGGACTTAAACAATAAATGAACTATAATGTAGTATTATTACACAGAAGTATAACGCGACCTAAGATTTAGACGAAAACCTTAAATTAAAAAAGTGAAATTTTCAAACAAAACAAATAATAAAATAGATTCAAGAAAGTATAACACTCTGTGTAACAACGTACCTTGACCTCAGAAGAGCGGCAACGTCGCATACGTTATGGAAGGCACGGGTGACGCGGCTTGGTACTACTTGGTAGTAACACTGCAGTGACGGGGCTCATTCACTCTTTGAACTCGTGAACCATTGGACGATAACGGAACGTACGCTCTGCTTGCCTAAGACTGCAGGTTGGGTTATTGCGGAAATAGGCTAAAACCCTTTGTTCCAAGATCGATGAAGTTTGCCGACCAGCAAAGCTCCATCATGGGTATTGGGCATTATAGGCAGATTTTCTCTAAGCCTTTGTACAAACATCAGTCGAACAGTGACGAGATGCTCCGTACCTCCCCGGAAAAGTTCGCAGAGCCGACGCTAACGATGACGTCATTCACCATGTAATAATATCGCGGCATTTCGGCACAACACACAGACACACGTAAACACACAATTAAAAGTTAAATAAATAAAATAAAATACACAGTTAACAAAAGTACAAATGTCAGTGTCCGGTTCACAGTAAAGAAAACTAGGTAATAATAAAAAAAAAACTAAGAGCTAATTAATTACAAAAAACAACAACAATCGTTTAGCACAACGCGCGCGTAACCCGTCGGAAATTAGCGAAAAGCACAGTACACACTATCCCGGAAGTCTAGCAGTGAACTGATGAACAAATTTTATTTTCAAACTCATTCGATCACAAACGCGGCGTACTGAAAGGGAAACTACCCCTTTCACGATGCCGCCGCAAGCGGCGGTATCTTTGACAAAAGCCGTCAAAAGAAACCGACCGCTGGTGCGGCTATTACATACACCGCACTGCTGATGTACTTACACCTATTTATTAGTGGTACGGTAACTTCAACTTTATCGTATTGACATAAAGTCGAAAATCCAATTAATAAATTTGTCAGATGTGTACGTTGATCTGCTGGCCACTGTACCCATTAGTTTTGTTTTCCGATGTAGGTACTTATTTACGTAATTTTATTACTACACTACATTCTTTGTAATATCGATATTTGTACAATTTCCGTGTCAACTAGACGATATTGGCAGAAAGAGATTCTTAAATGTGGTAATCGAAATAGAAAGGTAAATAAATACGTAATTTCACTCATTCATTCGATACAAATGTCAGACTCCTTAATAAATTCGTAATTTTAATAAATTTTGATTCATAATTTGAAGAAATTGTAATAGTGCCATCTATGGAGAAATTGCCGAACTACTACAAAATGCCAAACACTCTTTGTGAAATCGATATTTGCACAATTTCACTGTTGGTCACTGCCACCAGCGCCGCCACCCAACCATTGTGTAAGCGTGGTTCGTGTAGGAACTACTACTTCATTGCAAACAAAACAATTTATACCTACTTGAGCTTTACGCGGAATTTTGTTTTGATTGGTTTTCTGAGTGCAAGTAAATAAATTGTAATTGTAACTGTAAATGAATTATGGAAAATTGCAACAGTAAGATCAGTGATGTGTGTTTAAATGAATTAAACAAGTGAGAGATATCCGTGTTGTCGTTTAAAGATTTTTTTAAGGCGTAAACTAAACGTGTGTTAGCCCGGATTAAGCGTAACTGAAAAAGGTAATTTTATTCATTCTTTTCATAATAAAAGGTATTGTAACTAGTTGTAAGCGGCTAGAAGTTTGTGTAGGTACACAAAAAGTTTATGAAACGTGTTTTCTAGTTTTCAAATCAAGAGCCGAATGGAATTGAGGTGTTTTTTTTTCAATCAAACTCGTGAATCGACATCTTCATTGAATATGGCAAATAAATAGTTTAACACAGACGGCGAGTACCTACAAGAAAGACAACCACTTTATCTTGGTCTCGTTTTGTATGATCTTTCTTCATATTCAACGATCAGTTTATACTGGTTTAGCATAGCTTAATGTGCGTACCTACAGTGTAAATTAAAGATTCATCGCGATTATTTCTTTTAAAATGTGGATTAGTGGACGGTGCAGTGACAAACTTATCATATTATTTTGGGTCTGGTTAGGATTATACCAATTCTTTTCTCATTTTGAAAACCGAAACAGGAAAAGTGGCAACGTCGCGCATTGGAGTGCATTGACCTGCGTCAATGAACTTAAAGAGTGTTTACGTTTTCTCAAAGAGAAAAATGCACTTTTTGGCTTAACTACTGGGCCGATTTTGCTCATTTTTTGTACATTGTCAGTATAGACGATAACAAGTATGTTGTATAAATAAATGTATAAGAGTTTTCTACATACGGTATATTATAATATTGATTACTTATATGGTTTTAAAGTAATTACTTAGGTACTATTATTGTACATTTAGTCATTATATTTCTTAATCTTCAGTTATTTATTAATCTGCTTGATCTTTACTATGGCTATGTTAATTCAAGCTCACAATGTTCCAATTCTAATACGTTTTTCTAAGATTTAAAGTAAACTTTAATAAATTGTAATAGACTAATAGGTAATTGCAAGACTTGCAAGACTCTTGCTGCAAGACCAAGACCAAGACCAAGACTGGGAGCGCAAGACCAAGACCAAGACCAAGACCAGGTGTATTGGCGCAAGACCAAGACCAAGACTGGCTAAGTCTCGTCTTGTTCTTGCATTTGGGCAACACTACATGTAATAGGGGCTGAGCCTATTGCCATATACCGGGCACAATTCCAAACTCCGTGCTACGACTGAGAATTTTTAAAAACCCAGTAGTACTTTGCCTTACCCGGGGGAATCGAACCCGAGACCCCTTGCCCGGCAGTCGCACTTGCGACCACTCGGCCAACGAGGTAGTCAGAGAAGTGAGTTTAACTGCATATTATTAGGCTGTGGAATCCATAGGGTTGATGACAGGGTATGAACATTAAAAATCTAATTAGTCCCTCAGTTAGGTAATGAAAAAATATTATTGTTTGTTATGTTTAAAAAAAACATTTAATTTTTTGGGGGAAATTCTAATTCGGTCGGAATCTTTAATCGCTTGTGTTATCAGTTATCGAGATAATTCAAATTGTCCGGCGTTAGATGCTGTCCGGCGTTACGGGACTTGCCCCTACGAAATTTCACAATACCAATGTCGATCGGACTTGGATTTAAGAGTAAGCCCTCTGGTGATTGAACCCAAGACTATAGTGAACTCATCTAATTCTGTGACTCGCCTAATAATTCGGTTTAGTAAATTTGGTAGAACTCTTAGGTTTCTAGAAAAAAATCTGATTCTTTGTGCTAATATTCCTCATAAAAGACTGATTAAAACTCATGCGGAGACTGAATTAAATTAATTAATAATTTATTGGTATTTTATTACTCAAATGCCTTTGTCACGAAGTTAGATGAGTTTACCCTACTTGCTCATTCGTCAAGATTGATGTAATGTTATATGTATATTGTTTTTTTTTAATGTAATATTATATTTTGTCCACAGTGACTGCCGTGTAGTCCGCGACCCACAGACTCTGAAGTCAAAAGGATACGGATTCGTGTCATTTTTGAAAAAATCGGTAAGTTTTTTTATGTAATAAGAGGCAAACGAGCAGACGTATCACCTGATGGTAATCGATCAGCGCCACCCGCAACACCAGAGGAGTCACAGATGCGTTGAAGACCTATTAAAAATTACAAAACTGCGTTTAAAACAACCGACTTCAAAAACGAATGACAAACGAAAAATAAAAACTAAAAAGGAAAAAAATAACTATTATTGGTCCTACATACTTATAGCTTACACACCCACTGATAGGTTAGAAGTCGGTGCCACAAATTTTACACAAAATCATTCATTAAAACCTTAATAGATACCTAACATTATTAAACTGTTTACAATTTCATTATGGATTATACCAGCTGTGACCATTAACTACTTTATATTTTGTCGTGGGTTTGTGCCTGACTCCTAACCTATCAGTGGGTGTGTAAGCTATAAGTACGTATGACGTACGGTCGAATTGAGAACCTCTTCCTTTTTTGAAGTCGGTTAAAAAGGAATACGCTCTTTTCTTGAAGGTTTGAAGGTCGTATCGGTTCGGAAATACCGCCGACGACAGATCATTATACAGTTTTGCTGTACGAGGCAGAAAGCTACGTGAGAAGCGCACAGTTGTGGCCTACCAACCATCTATATGCTGTACATAAAATGTACCTCTTTTATTTATATTAATACTAGTTTTTAAATTACCGACGGCTTTGCATACGTCAATAAGCGCTTGTGTTATTTTCTACACACGTCTTATGTAAGATTATTTAGACACCACTGACAAACGGTGAAGGAAAACATCGTGAGGAAACATGGACTTATAATTTATAATAATAATATTGAAATCGCTAACCTGCATTGAGTAAGCGTGGTGGTTAATACTCAAACCTTTTTCGTGTGAGAAGAGGCTTTGCTCAGCAGTGGCCACTTACATACAGGCTGTTGATGATGATAATGATGATGATGATGTAATTGTCTGTGCTCCCTACTTTTAGTAGATAATTCGTAAAAGGTTCACAGGCTAAGGTCCTCACGCGATGAAACACAACGCTGTGGTTGTTTTACGTCGGTTTTCTGCTCGTCCCTCCCACACTAAAGCTAGGCCCTCCCACACTGAGCATGGCTCAAATCGCCATAACTTGAGAATGGCTAGACCGATTTGGTTGTTTTTTTTTTTGTTGTCTTTGTTATTGTCAGAAGAAGGTTTTTATGGTGGAAAAAAACCCTGAAAATCTTATGGGAGCAGGAGAAAACGGTATTGCGCGTACGAAGAAAATGAAGCAGATTTAAACCTCGAAATAATATAATGATCCTTATTAATTAATTAATTAATTATTATAAATCGGAAAGTGAGTTTGTTTGTTTGTTTGTTCCGCTTTCACGCCGTAACTACTTAACCGATTGCTTTGAAATTTAGCAAACGTAACGTTAGAAGTCCGGATTAAATAATAGGGTACTTTTAATCCCAGAAAAAATTTGATATTGCCGAGGGAAAACAAAAGTATTGGTATAGATGGCGCTATGTATTGGTATATGTCACATAGGCTACTTTTTATCCTTTTGTGACGCGAGCGAAGCTGCCAGTAAAAGCTAGTAGTTAATATACATAAGTTGTCTGTGGGAAACAAAAGTTGCAATATCTATTAACTTTTAATGTACTTTATCGATTAGTGAGTGTCGATGTTTTTTCCTAGAAAAGGTGACTGTTTAATACATAATTATTGTTGGGGTTCAAACAATCCTACAATGGAATATTCCATTGTAGGATTGTTTTGAAAAGGGGATAGGTAGGGATGTGTGTACCTAAATTTATTTTCACTATGTGCATCATCATCATCAACAGCCTATAAATGCCCACTGCTAAGCAAAGCTTCTTCTCACACGGAGAAGGTTTAAGCATTAATCATCACGCTAACTCAATGCGGGTTGGCGATTTCAAACTTATAATTAGAAATTATAAGCCCAGGTTTCCTCACGATGTTTTTCCTTCACCGTTTGTCAGTGGTGTCTAAATAATCTTCGAAAGTACATATAACTCGGAAAAGTCACATTGGTACTTGCCGTTGGTAGGTTTCGGACCCGCACCCTCATGCATGAGAAGCAGGCGTCTTAAACGTCCAGCCCACCACGGCTCCAAAATGGGTACAGTAGGGTAGATGCCTAATTTTTATTTTAATGTCCGTCTGGTAGATTATTTTAAATCATTAAACACGTATTTTTTATTTTCTTACAGAAACGAATACTTTCGACGATATATTGATTTGAAATGTCGCGTGACGTCACTTCTCAGTACATTTTATACTAAGAAATGACGTTTTAGCCCCCACTCCTAAACTTTGATTCGTTTTATCTAAGTATTGTTTTATTATACGACAAAATAAAAAAATACGTGTCTAATATTTTTTCGTTACCTAACTTACGGACTAATTATATTTTTAATTTTCATACCCTGTCATCATCCCCATTTCCACTTTACTACTGACTCTATCTAAGTGATCCCATTTCACCACAGACCTAGGACATTAGGTGTCTATAAACTTATGTATTAAATCTGTATGTGTCACCTGTTTTAGCGTGAGAAATAAAGTTTTTTCTTTCTTTCTTTCTATATAATATTCTGTTCATTTGTTACAGGAGGCTGAATCAGCCATAACATCAATGAACGGCCAGTGGCTCGGGTCTCGGTCGATCCGCACCAACTGGGCTACGCGCAAACCACCAGCGCCGAAGAATGACTGTAAGTACTTCCAATAACATAATATAATAGTATTGTGTTTATTGAATTGAAGAGTAAACAAGCATACCCAATCACCCCGATCCCCCCAATCCCCGAATTCCCAATAATCCTCAAATTTCCAATCCCCAAAAGGTTGGTAATGCACTTGTAACACCACTGGTGTTCCAGGTGTCCATGGGCGACGCCGATTTCTTACCATCAAGTGATCCGTCCGCTCGTATACCGGCTTATCCCATAAAAAAGACGGATGAACTGATGGTAAACAAAATCTAGGATCGAATGAAAAATGAGGAGATCCACCTATTAAAAAAAGTCGCTAACGTAGCCCAGCGGATAACCGAGCTCGGAAAACCGACTACCAATCAGGTAGACAGGTTCTCTAATAGCGAACAAACGAAGAGGACATCAACTCGCGCGGTGGACAGACGTCGGTCGCTTCCAACCTCGCGATGTGTAGACATTGGGGGAGGACTGTGGGAGGCAGTAGACAATATGGGGCTGATATGATGACACAATCGGTGCCCCATGAACAACCGCAACACAAAATAATTACAATCGTGTTGTTGGCCTTTTTGGGGATCAGGGATTTGAGGATTATTAGGGATTCAGGTATTGGGAAAATTGGGAAAGGGGTATTAGGATTTACGACGAAATACAAGGCTAGCGTTGTTTCACGTCGGTTTTCTACTTAAACGTGGTATCACTCCGGTCGAGCCGGCCCAGCGTTAATTGTGAATTTTGCTTGAAGATTTTGACTATTATACAGGGTCTAAAACAGTATTATACTGACATATACAGACCAGATTGGCGATATATTAAAGAAGGGCCAAATTAAAAGTACCCTCCGAACCGCTGAGCATGCATGAAAAGATTGATGACTATTGATGAAGCGAAAGAGGTATGTAGGAATAGTAGTAGTGGGGTAGATGCCTAATTTTTATTTTAATGTCCGTCTGGTAGATTATTTTAAATCATTAGACACGCATTTTTCATTTTCTTTCAAGAACGAATACTTTCGACGATATATTGGTTTGAAATGTTGCGGGACGTCACTTCTATGTACATTTTATTTATAGAAATGACGTTTTAGCTCCCACTCCTAAACTTTGATTCGTTATATCTAAGTATCTTTTTATAATAGTCTCTGCCTACCCCCATGGGAGACAGACGTGAAGTTATATATCATCAACAGCCTATAAATGCCCACTGCTGAGCAAAGCCTCTTCTCACACTGAGAAGGTTAGAGCATTAATCACCACGCTTGCTCAATGCGGGTTGGCGATTTCAAACTTATAATTAGAAATTATAAGCCCAGGTTTCCTCACGATGTTTTTCCTTCACCGTTTGTCAGTGGTATCTAAATAATCTTAGAAAGCACATATAACTCAGAAAAAGTCACATTGGTACTTGCTGTTCGTAGGTTTCGAACCCGCACCCTCATGCATGAGAAGCAGGCCTCTTAAACCTCCGGGCCACTACGAGTATAGAATATACGAAGTTATATATATGTATGTCTTACTTACTCCAAGAAGTGTTGTTCAAAGTAACTTAGCCCCGAGCGCTAAGGCTAAAATATAAGTACTTATAACTTAATCCTTACTTAGAACCGCAAGCATTTCTGATCCCTGTCTCAGATTAACATTTCAGCTGAATCCTTCAGTTGTCGGCTGAAAACGGATTTATACTGAAAATATTTTTTCTTTGCCATCTTTGTTTTTAATGTTTTCGTAAGAGATTATGTTAAAAACAAAAGACGTCGTTGATTGCTGCCTCGTTGGCCGAGTGGTCGCAAGTGCGACTGCCGGGCAATTTTCGGGTTCGATTCCCGGGTCGGGCAAAGTATTACTGGGTTTTTTAAATTCTCAGTAGTAGCATGGAGTCTGGAATTGTGCCCGGTATATGGCAATAGGTTCACCCCCTATTATATGGGACTCATAACATAAATAATGATAGGATTTTTTAAATGATAATTTATAAGTTCATTGTTTCATATGTTTTAACTTTAGTTGTCTCTTTAATAGTTTTCATAAATTTTATAATTATTTTGTACGCCAACTGTGGCAAAACATGTTGAGACGTTACAGTGTTCACTTTATCATCTGCATTTGCATTGATATGTATAATGTTACCCACACATGTTTATACAAATAAATATATTTTTATCTATCTTTATCTTTAGTGAAAATTGGGTGTTACATTGTACAGCGGCATAATGTACACCTCTGCCTACCCTTTCGGGGATAAAAGGCGTGATCGAGAAACGAACCCTTGCTGAGTCGCACTTGCGACCACTCGGCCAACGAGGCACTCAAAAACAAGTTAAAAGAAAATATATAACTAAGGTTTAAAATTAAACTGTGTTCTTTGATGTAGCCGGTAATACCGGTGGATCTATATAGAGTTGCTAAATACACCGTTGATGTTCAACTGTCTAGTTAAATATTCTGTTTTTGCAAGATAAGGCAGGCTTAGGTTGCAATGTTAAAATCATTCTCTTACTGAAGATTATGTAGGCTTGTGTATGTTAAAATTTAATTGGCTGAATCTTTCACATGAAATGTGTTAAAATATGTGTTATTTTTGCGTGGAAAAGGCATTTAGCCATTTGACAGCACGGTTGGGGCCATTGGCAATTAGCAGCCGCGCAACGTGTCCCCGGTTCGATTCCCGCACGGAACAACTCTTTGTGTAATCCACAGATTGTTGTTTCCGGTCTAGGTGTCATGTGTATGTGAACTTGTATGTTTGTAAACGCACCCACGGCACAGGAGAAAATCCTAGTGTGGGGAAATGTTAATTTAATAAAACAACATCTGCGCCAGTAGCGTAAATGCAGCATAAACACGTTCGAACGAACCACCGCGCGGGGGTGAAAGGCGAGAGAACCACGCGCCAGCGCTGCCACCGCGCCGATAGTCGAAAATCACAGGAGCTACTGCTCATACGTGTTCCGTCTCCGCACACAGTATACGCGCGCTCCGCTATAATAATGTTACCTTAATAACCTTAAATTTCACAATTAAAGAAGTATCGTCAAGTAAATCAGCTTTTTTATTCCACATCCGAACAAATTGTATCACCCAAATGTGTTGACTCACCGAAAACTAGCGTGAAAAACGCCAAGTCCAATTAATGACAAAGGCCTATACCCTTTTTCATGAATGGAATGGGACCCAATAGGGCTGATGGCAATTCGGAGTCGCGGAGGACCTAACGAGTTACCGGGGCTCCAGCTCGAAGTGCAGAAATAGGAACGGGGTGGTTTTTAGTCAGTAACAGTCTGACACTCCCTCCCGCCTCACCTAGGCGAGAGAAGAAATTCGATGATTTTCCCCCCTTAAAAAAAATATCCTTTTCCTCAAAAGACCAACAACTCGATTGTAACTCCTATAGTGTTTCGGGTGTCCATGGGCGGCGCTGATTGCTTAATATCGGTTTAATGTTGGCTTAATGTAGTGGTGGCCCGGAGGTTTAAGACGCCCTCTTCTCATGCATGAAACCTACCAACGGCAAGTACCAATGTGACTTTTTCCGAGTTATATGTACTTTTTAAGATTATTTAGACACCACTGACAAACGGTGAAGGGAAAACATCATGAGGAAACCTGGACTTATAATTTCTAATTATAAGTTTGAAATCGCCAACCCGCATTGAGCAAGCGTGGTGATTAATGCTCAAACGTTCTCCGTGTTTGAAGAAGAAGAAGCTTTGCTCAGCAGTAGGCATTTATAGGCTGTTGATGTGCATCGTCGCGTGTGCTTGGGGTAGCTTAGCTGTCAATGTCAAAGTGTCAAGCGTCAAAAGTCGTCAAATTCATAAATGATAGGTATTTTAATAAAAAAATAAGTTTTGACAGTGATCTTAAGGACAATTTATTACATATTTCTATTTTGTTTTATTATTTCTATTATTTTTTTATATATAATTGTATGATATTTTGACAACGGGCAAGTGCTGAAAATCAACGCCGCGACTTGAGAAATCGCGCTCGTGATACGGCATTTTAGCCTTTTTGCTCCGAGTACATTATTCTGTTTTTTTAAATAGTTATCTTGTTTTTTCTGTAATGGTGCAAATAAACTGTTTTTCTTTCTTTCTTTCATGTGTGTGGCAGCCTCATCATTCGCTTGATAAAATTGACGTGTAAAAGTGCTGCCTTGTAGCCTATTTGCAGAAATAAATTCATTTGTTTCATTTAATTCACAATATGAAAAGCTGTTTTCGACAGTTTATTCAATACATTTCATATTAAATAACTTTACCATTTCGCATAAACAGCTCTATAGACGTTTATGTGGAATTCAAATATCCGGGTCGGTAGGTAATTCTTTCCGGGTAACTGATGTTAAAATGTTACATTCGACCCAGGTAATGTTACACACACAATACTTAGCTTGTGTGTGTGTGTGTGTGTGTTTCTTGTAAATTTTTTCGTATTATTGTGGTAAATACGTTCAATATTTTTGTCGAGTATTTTGTATGTACCGCTACTATATAAGAGATGAGTTTGAAAGAAAAAAAAAAGATCTTTCTTTATTGATCCTTTTTTTGTATAGAAGCACTATTTTTATGGATTGTCAGTATGCATATGTGAGCACCATGTTACACTAGACTTTTATTTATTTGTATTTGTTGACGTTTCAAAAGTACCAAATTATGGTTTAATTGAAATAAATACTTTGACTTTGACTTTGTTTAACTCAAGGCGTACAATCATGTATTTCTTCAAAGCGTAAGTCCTGTCAATAAGCAGACACAGTAATCTAAATACACCTGTAATACTAGGGGCAGCACGAGTGTGTTGTGGACCATGTAGGAAACTGTTTTATGGGGTAGGAGATTTTCTTTTTTCTTTTTAAAAGGTCTCTTCTCACACGGAGAAATAATTTGATTAGTAGTTTGGTTTAATTAATCATCACACTTACTCAATGCGGGTTAGCGATTTCAAACTTATAATTAGACATTATAAGCCCAGGTTTCCTCACGATGTTTTCCTTCACCGTTTGTCAGTGGTGTCTAAATAATCTTAGAAAGTACATATAACTCGAAAAAAGTCACATTGGTACTTGCTGTTGGTAGGTTTCGCACCCTCATGCATGAGAAGCGGGCGTCTTAAACCGGGCCATCACGACACAAACATGGAGTATGATAAAAAATTCCTATTACATAGAACTTATTCAGTTCAACTTTACTTACATTATAATACCCTAAGACATGTCGCGAAGAACCTAACGGGTAACCGGGGCTCCGGCTTGACGTGCAGGAGAAGGAACGGGGTGGTTTTTAGTCAGTAAGAGTCTGACACTCCCTTCCGCCTCACCCAGGCGGGAGCAGTCATCCGATGATTTTCCCCCCTTAAAAAAAAATATACCCTGATGACATGATTTCAAATTTTGACTTCAACTTCTGTTACAGTAAACTCAAAACCGTTGACCTTCGATGAAGTCTACAACCAGAGCTCTCCAACCAACTGCACGGTGTACTGCGGAGGCCTGACTACTGGCCTCACTGAGGAGTTGATGCAGAAGACGTTCCAGCCCTTCGGAACTATCCAGGAGATCCGTGTCTTCAAGGACAAGGGTTATGCCTTTATACGGTGAGTCAACTGCCTTCTGTTTTATAAAGGGCACCTCAAAATACATCGATAAGCGGCCTTAGGGTAGTTCTATCTACTTACAAATAATTAAGCAATAAAATACAAACAGCTTTCATTTGTTTTTATTAATTACTAAGGTAAAACTGTAACTTTAAGGTTTTTTATGGCATAAGCCGGTAAACGAGCAGACGGATCACCAGATGGTAAACAATCGGCGTCACCCATGGACACCTGAAACACTAGAGACGTTACAAGTGCGTTACCGGCCTTTTGGGATTAGTAATTTGGTTGTGGATTCAGGGATTAGGACAGAGGAGGGTGGTAATTGGGCTTTCCAGTAACCTCACTCACACGACGAAACACAACGCAAGCGTTGTTTCACGTCAGTCTACTCGGCCGTGGTATCACTCCGGTCGAGCCGGCCCATGTGCCGAAGCATGGCTCTCCCACACTTAATTTGTTTCCGTCTCCTACACTTTTGGGATTAGGAATTTGAGGATTGTTGTGGATTCAGTGATTAAGAAAGGGAGGGGGGTGGTAATTAGGTCTCCGGTAACCTCACACATGGTTCTCCCAAACTTAAAAAGTCATTCTCTTTGCCTTCAGATTCTCAACCAAGGAAAGTGCGACGCACGCCATTGTGGCTGTTCACAATACTGATGTTAATGGCCAACCGGTCAAGTGCTCATGGGGCAAGGAGTCAGGGGACCCCAACAACGCACAGGCTCAAGGACAGGTACGTTGAATCTAGGTCGAAGTATTTTCTATTCTTTTTATAATAACTATCGTGAAACATATTAAATTAAGTTAAGTAAAATCGCAGGTTACTCACGTGAACCCAAAAGGAGGGTTTGCTGGATAGTTCAGCAATTGATTGGCCCTCGAAGAAAACCATTAAAATCACCAGGACATGTAGCTCCAACCAAATAAGTGGCTTATTGTTTTCGAACAGATTGCCATAGTGCAGAAAGGAAAAAAAAAAAAAAAAAAAAACTCACGTGAATATACTGAGAAAAACTCTACTAGTTTCGAATCACAGAGGGATTGGTAGGCTGCGCGACATGGCCGCGCCCGCGCACGGTGCTCATGAGATTAAAAAACCGACTACAAAAAACCAAAAACTAATAACAAACAAAAAGTCAAAACTAAAAAGCAAGAAATAACTATTATTAGTACTGATAGGTTACCCACCCACTGATAGGTAAGAAGTCGGTGCCATAAGCTCATATCATAATGAAATAACATTGGAAATGGAACCATCTCGCGAGTATACCCTTTCAAGCAAATGGCGGAGCAATGCGCGAACAAACAAAAAAAACGGTCAGTCGAACACCTCCTCCTTTTTTGAAGTCAGTAAAAATACCCCTATGTAGTTCGGAACTAGTAGGATTAATCCGTGATTTTTAATTAATTTAATATGTCTTTCGATAGTTTTTATAAATACATACATCTATCGGTCACAAGACTGCTAAACTTAGTGAAACAAGTTAATTTATTTCTGCAAATAGGCTACAAGGCAGTACTTTTACACGTCAATTTTATCAATCGAACGATGAGGTCGACATTTCCTAACTGACTACTCTGAGAAGAAATGCCGAAACAAACTCAGAGGTCCGTCTCTTTTAAAGTCCAGACAAATATGTATAAAAGATTATGTGTGAGAACCTCCCTGCATAGCTTTCTGATTGACTGTAATTCGTTTTGTTTAAAAAAATTATAAATACAATGTTGACTGAATATAAAAGTACGTTTAAAAAACCGACTTCAATTCCCTCTGTTTTTTAGGTTGGTTAAACTGTCAAACACCGCGAGGACACCGGTGACCGCAACCTATTGTTCTTTAATTGTGTCTATAATGACGGTACTCAAAGGTTTAATGAATATACTAAACCTCCTTAGTGTAACAAACACATTGTGAATACCGTGCCGTGGTATCACTCCGGTCGAGCCCGCCCATTCGTGCCAAAGCATAGGAGAGCCTCCTATGTTTATGTTTTAATAATTAGGGATCATGCCATAGGAAGTCAGTTTTAATTATTAATTTATTTCAATATAAAATTCACAAATCTTAAATTCTAATTGAGATAGCATTTTTAATGTTAATTCCTAATTTCATTTTCTATTCACTCAAATACATTAAATTACTTCGTTGTTAACTAACGGAATTACTAAGAGGTTTTTGTAAATATTTAAATACTTCAGGATGCTTATAATTAAATAATTTAAGCTCATTACAAAGCGTACAAACTTATGTTTTTTTTTCATTATATAACTAACACTGTCAGGCAACTGACTAACGCACTCTGCCTAATTTTTATTTTAATGTCCATCTGATACATCTATATATATAAAAGAAAGTCGTGTTAGTTACACCACTTATAACTCAAGAACGGCAGAATAGATTTGGCTGAAAATTGGTAGGGAGGTAGCTTAGAGCCAGGAGACCGACATAGGATACTTTTTAACCAACATTTTTTTTACTTTTTACCGAAAATCACGAACGGGGACGGGAAAAAATGGGATAAGCGTACAAAGTCGCGGGCAGAAGCTAGTTATTTAAAAACATTAACATAACATAACATCACCCCTTTTATCGCCGAAACGGTAGGCAAAGGTGCACAGTATGCCACTGTACAATGTAACACCCACTTTTCACTATTTATGATATGAGTCCTATGTAATAGGTGGTGAGCCTATTGTCATATACCGGGCACAATTCCAGACTCCGTGCAGTAGGACGGTCGCAAGTGCGACTGCCGGGCAAGGGGCCTCGGATTTGATTTCAAGGCAAAGTATTACTGGGCTTTTAAAAAAATCTCAGTAGTAGCACGGAGTTTGGAATTGTGCTCACCCCCTATTATACGAGACTCATAACATAAATAGTGAAAGGTGGGTGTTACATTGTACAGTGGCATAATGTGCACCTCTGTCTACCCCTTCGGGGATAAAAGGCGTGATGTTATGTTATGTTATTTACTACTCCTTCCAGTACCAAAAGGCATAGTATATCTAATTCCTCTTCTCCCCCATTTCAGATCCCCACAGCCTACAGCCCATTCGGCGCGACCTACACAGGCGGTGTTCCCCCAACCTCATATTGGTACAACACCTATCCGCAGCAGCTGGGAGGATTCCTCCAAGGCGTGCAGGGGGTGCAGGGGTACACCTACGCTGGACAGGCGTTCGCAGGCTACCAGCAGCAGTATATGGGGTATGTTATTTATTATGAGACGAATATAAAATAAGTTATTGGCTTTTTCAATTTATTTTACGGAATAGAATTATTAAAAGTTCGATTATGGAGTCAAGATGTCGATTTTTAGGTCAAAATTGTACTTTTGGTGGTTGGCCGAGTGGTCGCAAGTGCGTGCGGCAAGGGGTCTCGGGTTCGATTCCCGGGTCGGGCAAAGTATTACTGGGGTTTTTAAAATTTCTCATTAGTAGCACGGAGTCTGGAATTATGCCCGGTATATGGCAATTACATGGGATTCATAACATAAGTAGTGAACAGTGGGTGTTACATTGTACAGTGGCATAATGTACACCTCTGCCTACCCCTTCAGTGCTACTACCGAGATTTAATAAAAAACCAGTAATACTGACCCGGGAACCCGAGACCCCTTCCCCGGCAGTCGCACTTGCGACCACTCGGCCAACGAGACAGCTTTAGTTTCATGCTAAAAAATCGATTCTCACTCAACCCGATTTATTTGAATGTCAGTATTTTACGTAGATGAACTGCCATGTGCCTTCCACAGCATTATAACTATAAATTATATTATTAATATACAAGTATATATCATAAAACCGATAAAACTAAAATCCCTCCTTCTTGGGGATGAGGGGGACTAAAGTCCCGTAAATTTTTATTATTTCAGCAAGGAGTACAACCAGTGGGCTAATACAAATGCCTGTTCCAGCATGGGGGGTGTCCAGCTACCCTGGGCCTTGGGGGCCGGAGTGGGAGGCGTGGGGTCAGTTGGTGGGGTCGCCGCTATGTCCCAGCCCCCACAGGTCTTGCATTACCCTGTGCAACATTTCCAAGTTCAACCGGTAAGTTTAAAAGGGTTTTTTAGTGGTTTGGAGGCAAACGAGCTGTGATCAACTGATGGTAAGCAATCGGTGCTGCTCATAGGTAGACACACACACCAGGGCCTTTAGCCAAACGCCGCTTTAGCGCTTGTCTACAGAGAGTGTAGAAAACTAAATGTGTGGGGATGACACTGACAAGTGTCAAAAATTTACGTCAATTCCTTATACACAATTTGGTTTTCTATTCTACATGTAGACAAGCGCTAAGTGGCATTAGGCTACAGCTGCAGAAAAGCGACAATCAAAGACACCCGCAACAAAAGAGGAATTGCCTTTTGGGGGGCCTGGGATTTGGGGATTGGTGATGAAGCGGAGAATTTATCCTTTTTTCTGTATGAGATAAGCCGGTAAACAAGCAAACGGATCACCTGATGGTAAGCAATAGGCGTCGCCCATGGAAACCTGAAATACCAGCGGCGTTACAAGTGCGTTACCGGCCTCATGGGGATTAGGAATTTGATTCAGGGATTGGGGAGGGAGTGGTGTGATTGGGCTATGCTCCGGTCGAGCTGACCCGTTCGTGCCGAAGCATGGCTCTCCCACGCTTACTTGGCCTCTGGTAACCTCATTCACACGACGAAACGCAACGCAAACATCTTTTGTGAGGCTGTGGTATTACTCCAGTCAAGCAAGCCCATAAGTGCCAAAGCATAGCTATCCTACAATTAGCATGGCTTTCCCACGCCTAACATTGAAAGTCTGAAATCGTCTTAACGAGTTGAAAGTCGGCAACTCGACGGTATATAGAAATAATCATCAAAAAAAAATTCTTTCTCTTATGCACATTTTACAACCTTAATTCATCAGTATACATAACATCACGCCTTTTATCCCCGAAGGTGTAGGCAGAGGTGTACGTTATACCACTGTACAATGTAACACCCACTTCTCACTATTTATGTTATGAGTCCCATGTAATAGGGGGTGAGCCTATTGCCATATACCGGGCACAATTCCAGACTCCGTGCTACAACTGAGAATTTTTGAAAACCCAGTAATACTTCGCCCGACCCGGCAGTCGCACTTGCGACCACTCGGCCAGCGAAGCAGTCAGAATAATTAATTTTATTATTTATTTCCAGATCGGTGAAGACGAGTGGCTTGCTCCAAGCCTCCTTGTCTGAGGTCGAAACCATCAGCCAATAGGAACCTGTTGTTGTGTGCATAAAGACTGGACATAACTCACTCATCCTACGTTTAATTAGTCTCTCTAATTTTTTGAGTCTGTTTCTCTAATTTATTGAGTCTGTTTCTCTAATTTATTGAGTCTATTTCTCTAATTTTTTGAGTCTGTCTAATTTTTTTGTTCTGTAAATGACTTTCGGGTTGTAATTGTTTTTTTTTGCTTTATTCTGTTAATTCTGTGACTTTTGAATTATTATTGTATTGTTTTTAATTATCTTGTGATTTTATAATTATTTGAGTTTATTTTAATGAGTGTATTCGAGTGATACTGATGTTTTTTTTTTCATTTTTTAAATGGTTGTCTTAATTTTGTGTGATTACTTTCATGTAAAATGTTTGGACTCGATATTTAAAAATTAAAATGTGATTCTTTTGTTATTTTTCAAAGTTTAAAAAATCGTTTTTGGAAATTACAAAATGTTTCTTAAAGAAATATTTAAATTGTTGTTACCGTGTTCTAGTCATGTTTAAGACAAATATTTTTTGTTAGTTTTAGTTCAAACTAAAATAAAAAAAATGTTATGTTGTTTATTGTTAAAAAATAATAATAAGTTGTAATATTTTGTTGTATCTTAAAAACTGAGGTTGGCCACTTCTTAAATTAAAATTTAAGTATTATTTTAAGGTAACATACTCAAACTTTAAACTTTATTTAAATTTCAAATCTAGAACCGAAGATTCCGTATCAATTCTAGTCAATTAATGACATTTTATTTTATTTAAAAATTAATTATTTATTTCTGTTAAAAAAAATGTTATATTTTAAATTGAAATGAGGATATAAAGAAATAAAACAACAGGAGCGTTAGCGCATTAACGGTTAAGAGCATTATCCATAAAAAGGGATGAAATATTGATAAAAAATTTTGAAAAATGTGAGTCAAAATATATCGAAAGATTACACTTTTTGCTTCTTATGAGTGCAAAGCGTATAAGAAATACTTTTTAGAAAACATATAGAAGATAATACATAAGTATAAATTGTAAGTTAGGTTATAAGACAAATCACCACGCGGGCCAATAAGGGGTTGCGAACGAAAAAATTGAATTAAAAATAAGCAAAAAAAAAACTTTTTTTTAAACGCTCTACCATCAGACAGCACAAATATTGAAGAAAATATTTAAGAAAAAGATATGTACTAAATAATAACTTATTGTGGAAGAAATAATAATTAGATTTTTGGACATTTGTTTAGTAAAAAAATTAACATCGGAGTGAGACGATTTTATAAGTAAATAAAACTTTTTTATGCCGATTGGTAGGTTGGGTAGTACGTAACTTTTTTGAGAATGGCTAGGAAAGTCGGCTTTACGACTTTTCCGATTTAAAAGTCGGAATTATCGGAGGTTTTTAGAATGTTGAAGTCGGAAATCGACACGTAGAGAGCTTGAGGCGAAAGTCGACTGCGGCTCTCATGTTGTGAGTCTGAAGTCGTCTTAACGAGTTGAAAGTCGGCAATTCGACTATATATAAACAAAACATCGAGAAAACTATTCTTTCTCTTACGCACATTTTCAGATTATCTATTAGTTTTAGTGGTGGATACATAAAAAGTGAAAAGTACCGACTTCCAAAAATTTTCGAAGTCGTTTTTTTCAACGGCAACTATCGTTTCTTTTTCTCAAGATTGTTAGTTTAAAATGCCAATGCCAAATTCTGAATGAAAAAATCCGTAAAATTTAAAAAAATAAATAAAATAAAATACTGTTATATAAAATGGTTGTGTCTAGTTAAAAGATACACTATGGAACCGAGAAAATATGTAGAAAAAAAAATAATAAAAAATTAGATTTATTTATTAATACTTTAAATCTAAGTGAAAAGAAAAAAATATTTATTGCCTAGACTTTAAGTATAATAATACCCGTTTACTGTAGTTAGAGAAAAATTGTAATGGAAACGGTAAAAAAAAATATAACGTTCAGTTTTTCTCTCGAAAATTCAAAATGGACGTCGCTAACGAGCGCCATTTCGGCTACTTCTATTTATTACATTCATTTCATCATCTTCTCGTGAGAAAAAACTTGTTGTTTTTTTTTTTTTTTTTTAGTTTTTAGTTTACAAAAAATGGAGAATTTTTTCTCTTTTTTTTTTTAGTTCTACCATTCAATACTCTTTCGTTGGAGAGAGGTGTTTGTAAAAAATACACATACTATATTCACAGTAGATGAAAAGTATCGTTTTTGAAAAATTTTTTGTCGGGACCACAATTGTGGCTCCGGCACGTCTTTGTATAAAAAGTATTTTATACATTAATTATTAAAATTATAAAAACTATATTATATTTGTCTGGCTGTAGATCTGTCACTTTTATTATTAGAGGAGGCTCGTCTCAATTATTTAAGGGCTTGGGATTTACAACTTGATTGATGAAAATGGGGCATTTTAAATGTATACATCGACCTCGTTGGGTAAAAAGGTATAATGCGATGTACGAAACAAGGACATTGAAAAAATCGCGAATACCATCTCAGTTAGACATTATTGAAGCACCAAAGAATCAGTGGCATATATTATGTGTGCGCGTATAATGGGTTACCACGTTACCAGACTCAAGAAAATGACAGATGTCCTTCGTGTCAATGTGTGTGTATTCTGCGTGTAAGTCTATAGTAGTCAGGTGCCACAATCGTTGTTTCAAGAGGCTACGGCCGCCGTTTTTCAACATCCTTGATACGTAAAGATACAAAAGATGTGTCAACGAACAACATCGATATTACTTATTGAATGTAAATTTACGAAATGAAATACATTTAAGACACACGTACAAATGTATAATTTAAAAGCAGAAATAAGTACACGTGATGAATTGGTTGAAGAATATTCTCAGTAATATTTCAGTAGCCTTTGACTATTGTACTGCTGAGTAAAGGTCTCTTCTTACACTCAGAAGAAATTGGCAATGATCATCAGGCATAGCTACGTTATATAAATGACATATTAAGAGGTATAGACATTCACATGCTAACGCCACGTCCTGTGTAAGCGATTTAGAACCGATCGCGATTATGAGGCTGTGACACGCGAATTCGATGCGACGGGGTGCGACGCAGCTGCATGTCCTACGTGCATGCGAATCGTTTGGCTTCGTTTTTGTATCCGAAATTATAACCAAACAAGGATGTCACAGCACCGCATACAAATATGACAGTTCGCGTGAAAATATCAAACTGTCCACGTCATTTTGCGTGGCTCCACACCGCCTCCCACAGGCAAATTGTCACATAGGATACTTCAATAGATTACTACAGTTTGTTGTTTTCGCGTGCAGCACCGCTCCGTATTCATGGCTAGATTGAACACGTAGGACGTAGCGTAACACTACTAACATTGCAGCCATTTTGCAAACATAATTATTAATGAGGTTTTTCGAATTTGAATACCAGTATGTGTAAAGGCATGATGGTGATACTTAGAATGGTTCAGTTAATGTAGGATAAAGAGAGTACAGCTATCAATGTTAATCCTTTGAGGATAAAGAGATGGGACATTTAAGCCACTGTTTGAAAAAATACTAATAAAAGAGTGACAGGATACCAGCCACACAGTTAATTTTGACTGTTAGAGAAAATTTTTATTTGAAAAAAAAACTAAAAGTTAGCTGTTTTTAGTTTCGTCTTCAGCGTAGTAAAAATTTTTGCAGACATATCGCTAGATTCTTATATTTAAGACATATATATAAATATATATATATATATATATGATAACTATACTATAATCTAAACTATTCTACATGATGAAAATATATAATTTCATAACTTAAAGACTTTTCACACTTATTCTTTTCCTCTTTCATCTTAAATGTTTCGTTGGTCTGCACAGAGGTCGCTAGCTCACTTCTTGGGCAGTGTCTTATCGAGTATTATCGATATTGGAAATACTCTGTATATTTGATGAAGTCTGGGATTGTGGGGACATAATATTAACAAAGTCATAGTTTGGTACTTTTGAAACGTCAACAAATACAAAATAAATAATAGTCTGTCAGTCAGTCTGTCAGTGCAACTAGGTGAAGCTAGGTGCTCATTCCAAAAAGTAGATTCGAATGGAGAAGAACAAGCAAGAAACTCCATTCGTTACTCTTTTTAAAAAAGTATGTTCTACAATGTCTCTGATACCTATAACATACCTGTTACCTTCAAAGTCTGTTATGTTATATAATTTAACTGCAATACCTCTAAACCAACGAAATCTTAAACTGTCGCTTACTTCTCTATCCTAAACTTTCGTCTGATCCTCTTGGCCTTATAATATATATAAATCCAACACCAATATATAAAAAGTCCTTTAAATATAAGCTCTTGTGTGTTAAGAATAAGGTATGAAATAAAACTGTCTTGATGCAGCACTTACTTCATTTTCGAAATGAATTAATCGGGTATGGTAATCCAGTAATATAATGAAATATTAATTTTTAGATTGTAGACTGTATATACCTATTTATTGTGTAGAGATACAACCGATATGAAAGGCAAAAGGCATATAATGAAGGGAAATGATCAGCGAATCTGATTTTTAATGAAAAAAGACGTTTTTTTCAAATATACTTTGAAAAAAGATACACGAAAATGATATACGTAGGTAATAAAATAAGTTGCTATATCGGATTGATTATGGTTGGTTGTCACAGCAGATATTCGTGGCGATAATTGGCGGAGGTATCATTTTCGATGTCGAATCCTTGACTCCGTGTTATGTCTGTCAAGACTTCTGTAACAACCAACTTTAACCCACCCCAATTATTTGAGATAAACAAGCTTATATTATTAGTTTTTAGTGACGAAAATATACTCGTTTAGTATAGGAACGTATATTATATTGTAGAATTAAACAATAAGTGTGAAAAATCTTTGGGAAAAAGAATCATTGCGTCAATTTGGACATTCAGTCAATCAAGGCATGATGTATTTATTAGGGTATATAAGAATGAATTTTTAA